CAAACATACAAAAAAATAAAAAATCAGGAAGGGGGCCAACACTTTTTCACATCACTGTATATATATATATATATATATATATATACACATATACATACATATGGTAAAGATTTACAGAGATGGTATTAAGCTGGAAAGGAAGATTTTTTTTCCTCTGTATTCTTCATTGATTTCATAAATGCAGTTTCCACGTGTTGTTGACTGAGAACATTTTCAAACATTTCACACATTGTTTAATATATTCAACAAAGCATTGCCATACATGTATATATGTAATACACACACACAAACCAATTTATAACAATAACGATATAGAACAATTTCAAATGCTTGTTGAAGCTCAAAAACTGAAAAAGCACCATGAAATCCCAAAATGTAAGTCACATTTTATTCACATATGATCTTGTCTTCTTCTGCAGGTCTCAAATTTGTGTAGTTTTTAAAAATGTTTTTGAAATAAGTCTTTTATGCTCACCAAGACTGCATTTATTTGATCCAAAATACAGTAAAAAGAGTAATATTGTGAAATAATATTATTTAAAATAACTGTTTTCTATATGAATAGGTTAAAATGTAATTTAATCCTGTGATCAAAGATTAATTTTCAGTATCATTACTCCTTCAGTCTTCAGTGTCACATGATTCTTCAGAAATCATTCTAATATGCTGATCTGCAGCTAAAAAACATTACTATTATTACCAATGTTATTTTTGCAGAAACTGTAAAACATTTTTTTTGATACATTCCTTGATGAATGGAAAGTTCAAAAGAACAGCATTTATTTGAAAACATTTAACATTCTAAATACGTTTACGGTCACTGTTGACCAATTTAAAAGCAATTAAAGTATTCATTTCTTTCAAAAATCTTTTGAACAGTAGTGTATCTGTATCTAGAATGGCCTCGTATCAAGATTAAATTCTGGTTGATTTTAATAAAGCTTTGCATTGGAAAGAATATCAAACAACACCAAGCAACAACTTTCATTCAGTCTTAAAACTCTTTATTTATTCTTTTAATTGAAGTTACAACGTTTTCCAGACTTGTTAGATATTCACAATGAGCTCTTGAGAGGAACTACACCACAGCTGCATGGAACTCGGAGACATTTGATGTTTTTCCACACGCGTTTGTTAAAAATTAAACCGCAAACATTTCCTCAAAAACACTTCTCCCCTCGCTCTCATATTGGCACAGCACTGACGATAACGTTTATGAACGGTAAAAATGCAAGGGTCTAAATAAACCTGACGTGATCCTCGGCATCTAAACACAATCCAGATCCCACCTCTGACCCAAAGGCAAGATGATGAAAGAATGATGGTTCCCTGAAACCTAAAAATCACAGTATTAATATTCTCCACATTTCGGAGCAGACAGGAAAAGCTGCGGTCTCAAAGTAACTTCCCACTCTTCTCACTTGCAAGCCTAAAAGGATATCAAGAACCGTAATACTTGACGACTGAAGCTGCTTTCTGGATTTCAAACACGTGACGTATAGAACACAGCAAATAAACTCATCTCACTCTATCGATTTCAGTCCGACCTCGGCAAACTTCACAGCAGCAAAACATCTGCGCTATTCCTCAAGTATGCAAGGCAGTCACACTCGGTCTTGTGGAGAAAAGAAGGCAAAAACCAAGGCAAAAACGGGACTGATCACTACAAACATCTGCACCAAACATCTCTGGAATATTGGAACCAGCATTGAAATGTTCAAAAGGAACGTCTTCACAAACACTGAGAAAAGGTTCCGTCTCAAAAGGATATTCGCATGTCACTGGAATGTCACCATAGCACTTATTCAACATGAAGTTTCCCAGGATTCCTGCATGAACAGCAATTCTAGGTGGTCGTTTTTGGGCCGTCTGCCTGCATACTCGAAATCAGTATTTTTTAAATTACAACAGCCTCAAATGAAATAAAATTAACAACAGAAAACTACCAATACAGTATGAAATATCAGAGTTACCCCTGGTCACATGATCATCACTCTTTTGGTCCATGATTTAAGTTTTAGGCTTTTCAATCAACTATATCAGAGATTTAAATCTACGCGGGGCAAATGAATTCAGTCCGACTGATGAGGGAGGGGGAGATGTTGAGCGGTGTTAGATAAGCTCCACGTAATTTGCAGGGAACATGCCGAAATGTCCATCCGGATTGTACCCTCGCCACCAGCCTTCATCAATCATCTCGATGCCGGTGATGATGTCATCTGGGTCAAACGAGACCTCGGTGTCATCAGCTGAAAAGCAGATCAGATTGAAGATTAAATGACTAAAGTGACATAAAAAGGCCAAAGTGTGCTTCAGTTTTGACACAAAAGCTTAGCGTAACTAGAAAAATCAGGCTGTGCGCTTACAACAGGAGATTACATTTGTGCTACAGACACTGACTGTATGCACATCAGTTTACATGTAAAAAAAAAAAAAAAAATCCTGTGAAAAACTATACTTTGGGCTTAATGCTGCCTTCGCATGTTATCGGAAATTTCCTACTTCCCACTTCTGAAGTTGTAATTACGAGTTGGTCCTTTGTTGTCAGAAAGAAGAAGAAGAATATATTTTATTGTCCCACTTCTGGAAAATTCATCATGGACAACGATGAAAGAAAGAACAGGAATCATGTTGGACGGCCCATTCATGAGTTCATTTTTGCCTGTTTCTTGGGGAAATCTTATTAAAGGGGTCATAGGGTGCCCATTTTCCACAAGTTGATATGATTCTTTACGGTCTTAATGAAAAGTCTGTAACATAGTTTGGTTAAAATTTCTCAACGATAGTGTAAAAAACACCTGTCACATTTCAGTTCAAACAACTTGTAAAAGTGCATGTAGCATCCTATGACCCCTTTAAAGCCACAAGGTGGTATAGAAGATATTTAGTCAATATCCAACAGGTTTTGAATAAAATGTAGCTTTCCATTCATTTGGTATAGAAACATTTAACATTTCTCAACGATAGTGTAAAAAACACCTTTTTTACCCTGTCAAAAACAGCTCTTTTCAGAGCATGCAGATTGTAGCATTTTCCTTTAAATGTTAATGAGCTCTGCTGACCCCGCCCCTTTTTTCCGAGCTGCTCTCAGAGAGACTGTTTACTTTCGATTTTTGTAGATTAACAAAAAAACACTGGGTGGATTTTTATCATTATAGGGTGGTTGTGTACACACACTGCCAACACACATTTCAGTTCAAACAACTTGTAAAAGTGCATGTAGCATCCTATGACCCCTTTAAAGCCACAAGGTGGTATAGAAGATATTTAGTCAATATCCAACAGGTTTAGAATAAAATGTAGCTTTCCATTCATTTGGTAACCATAGAAACATTCACTGCGCTTTCTAGATATTCAGCTGGCTGACAATTCCAAAATTTTGTTCAAATAAATGCGATTTTCACAGTTTTCAATAAATACAATTTGCCTCAAAAGATCATTTGTGTGTGTAAATAAATATACATGACTGTGATGGCAAGAGAAAGCAATGTAGATGTGGGGAAAAATGAATAAAACTTTACAGTACTACAGCTATGTTTCTCCCCTCAGCCATGTTTAAAGTTTAAAGGGACAGTTCACCCAAAAATGAGAATTACCCCATGATTTACTCCCCTAGGTGTGTATGACTTTCTTCTTTCAGACGAATACAGTCAGAGTTATATTAAAAAATTTCCCGGCTCTTCCAAGCTTTATAATGGTGGTGAATGGCTGTTGAGAACTGAACGCCACTCTCTTGTGAATGCGCGTATAACAGTTATCAGAAGCTTGAGATTATGGTTTATAAAGTTTTAAATATGGATTTATTTTATTTTTTTACACAAACACATTAATTCGCTTCAGGAGGCATTTATTAAGCCCCCGGAGCCGTGTAGAGCACTTTTTATGATGGATGGACGCACTTTATTGGGCTTCAAAATCTCAACAGCCATTCACTGCCATTATAAAGCTTGGAAGAGCCAGGACATTTTTTAATATAACTCTGATTGTATTCGTCTGAAAGAAGAAAGTCATGTACACCTAGGATGCTTTGAGGGTGAGGAAATCATGGGGTAATTTTCATTTTTGGGTGAACTATCCCTTTAATGCCCGCCTAACTCGGAAACTCAGGTATCAAAATTATCTCAGAGTCCCATTTTTTAAATACGACTTGAGAGGCCGTTCATGTCCAATTTACGACTAGAAAACTCACATTTTCAATAATTCTGATACCACGTGAAGGCAGAAAAATATTCAAATAAATGAGCTGAACAAACCAGATTTGCAGTGATTAGTTAAGAAAAAAGCTGCAGTCTTGCTCTCAATACACCAAGAATTTGACCTTTTCTGATATTAATTCTGGGAACATTTGCCTAATGGTAGAGAGTCAAACTTGTAACCAGAAGTTCACGGGTTCAATTCTCAGTACCGACGGGAAATGTGCTGTAGGTGGGGGGAGGGAACGAACAGCCCTCTCTTCCACCTTCAATACCCACAACTGAGGTAGCAGCAAAAATGTCTGGCCACTGCTCCGCTTCTGTGTCCACGGTGTGTTCACTACTCACTGCTGTGTGTGTGCACTTGAATGGGTTAAATGCAGAGGACAAATTCCAAGTATGGGTCACTTAAATCACAACTTATTTTGTTTACTTATGTGATGCAAACATGTTAACCAATTACGTTAATACAGCATACTAATATAATAAAAATCCAAATCCAAAAAGAGCTGGAATAGGCATCTTTTGATTGAAGCAAAAACAGATGAAACAAACAAACACTGGCCTAAATCTGATTTTCATCTGATTTTCTTAAAAGCATGACTGAGAACCTCTCTTGATCTTCTATTCTATGGTGCATATTTAGCCTCTAGCCTGACTGTATTAACTTTTCTACCTGATTGTATGCTTGTTATTGTTTGAGTAGTGTCCCATTGGTAGTTCCTTGTGTTTTACAACTTCACGTCGGTGTGGTTGGGGGGGTTTTAATGATGCTGTGCAGTTTAAACAGCTAGCGACTTTTATAGAGTCACTGGACATTCCGAACATACTTTCGTCAAAATAATACAGACCAGCTTGGGCCGAGCAGAGCAGGGTCGTTAGATCAGAAAGTTTTGATATATATATATAAAAATTCTAAACCAATACAGATGAAATGGTTTCATATAGTTGTGTCATCTGATAGCTAAGCTGTATGCAGGTCTGTAATGTGTTGTTTTCCATTGGGAGATGAGAGACATATGTGGAGGCGCTTTTAAAAGATGAAATGCACGTGCTATCAGTTATCAGAGTCTGTAAATCAAGATGAGAGACAGAAACGAGCCTGAGCAAGAGTGATTTCATGTAGATCTCCAGAGACTGTGTCAAGGACAAAGGTTTTTTGGCACAAAAAGGCAACAACATGACATGGAACAGGGATGAAGATATGAAGAGCATATGGACAGTCCATTTGTCTGATAATCATTATAAAAAAAAAAAAAAAAAAAAAAAAAAAAAAAAAAAGCATGACTGAGAATGCATGATATAATGATTTTGAGTATTAGGAGAATTAATACAAATGCAGATGACAAAGCAGAAGAGAACTGTGGGAAAGGAATGTGCATGTCTATGTATATTCAGAACACATTCTCATGTATAATCAATACTCACCAGCCTGGTAGTCGTACAGAGCCCTGGCACAGACACCGCGATCATCTGTCGTCTCATATGTGTTCTGCTCCTCCTCCTACCAAACATTCACAAATCACTCAAATCACACACACCTCACGTCCACTTAAAGACAGCATGCAATAAAAAATGGATGCTTTTAACTTTAAAGACCCCATGCAAAGTTTGTGGCTTTTGGTTCATATATATTAGTTTGAGCTCATCTATATGCTGGCATACGCTTAAAAGACTGACAAAACCAGCTCCTAAAAATATACAACATATAACAACGAAAAATAAAGATGACTCAAACTGCAGTACACAGAATATCGTCCAATCAAAAGCTCTTTAGTGATGATTTTCGCTATAAGTTGCTGTCATAACTAGTTTGTTCCTGTAGTGAGGATCGTACCTGTGCTGGTTCCTCATAGATGGTGTCTTGTTCCACTACCGCCTCATATTGTGGCTGCTTTTGTTCTACGGGCACTTCATAATTATCAATGACTGCTTGTACATCTGTGAATGAAAACAAGACCGAGAGAAGTTATTTGTGACGGGTCCTGTAAGCGCTCACCTTCCCCACAAGGTGGTGCTGACAATCAGTTGACTGACTGACACAAATGTGGGCCTGATGATGATAATATGACAGGGAGATGGGACAATGTAACAAAACAAATGACAGGAGCTGATAATGCGTGTGTGAATCCCACCTTCATACTCTGGCTCGGGTTCTGGCTCTGGTTCCACATAATGAGATCTGGGCTGTTCCTCAAAACTGGGTTCTACTCAAAACACACACACACACACACATGCGTGGAAACACACAGAAACACACATGCATGGTAACAAGCACACACTGGGAGAGCTGGATCTTTATTCTGACACACCGCAGATGGGTAGAGTCAGAGTTTGAGAGCTGCATGACCAAAATATATCACGCTATGAGTGATTTTATATGATAGTAACTGTATAGATCACAATATAGTTATTTTTGATGGGAATTCAACCCCCCCAAAAAAAATAAATCAATCAAAAGACCAGATTATTAATAACAACAATAATATGCGCCTGCTGCACCCGGAATGAGAGTATAGTTCCTAGCCATATAAGTCTAGAAAATCGCAACTTTTCATTTTCCGTCGGTCTTAGTACACGATGTAACTACAGAAGAGTCAAGTTTTAAATAGGAAAAATATAGAAACTCTTTGGTCTTTTTTGAGCGAGATGCTAACGGTCTAATCAGATTCAATGATCTATGCTAAGCTAAGCTAAAAGTGCTACCGCCAGCCCCGGAGATCGGCTGAATGGATTCGAAAATGGTAAAACTCAACTGTTTAACTCTAGGGGAGTTGGAAAATGAGCCTATTTTCAAAAATAGTGGAGTGTTCCTTTAAGTGCACAAAGCAAACACACAGTGAGATGTTCACAAACTCTCACACAGCATCCTGGAAATCTCGTTTATTTTGAGGTGCATGGTAGAATTTTACAGGAAAGCGTGAGTGGTTAGATGTTAGTTGAGATACATGAAAACCCCACACAAAGAGGTAGAGAGTGAAAGAGATGGACAACACACCAAACCTCTCCAAGTGAGAGATAAGGAAGGAATGATAAGGTGTGTGTTTGTGTACCTCTGGCTCGTAAAGGTGAGGCTTGACGCACGGGACAGCGAAATGGCTCTGGGTCACATGACTGCTTGGACAGAAAAGGGCTGTTCAACCGCCCTGAGACACAGAACAGAGAACCACAAAGAGAGAAACCCAAGCTGACAGATGGCTGACGGAGTTATACACAGCAGAACAGACCACAAACATCATTTTAGACAGAAGAACTGCAGGCTGTTTAATGACAGTGTCGAATTTCAGACAGACGGACGGGGCTGAAATGCCCGGAGAACAATGGGAGACTGGGAAATACCACAAAACACTGAACATTCAGAAGTTAGTTACTGCATGCATAGGAAAACACCTTCTAATTCACAGACAAGGCCATTCCTTAAACGTGTTTGAACACATTCAGTGTTTTCACTACATGAAACGTGACCCACATAGCAAAAGGGGAAGCTAAATATAGAATGCAAATACTGTGGCATTTAAATAAAACAATTCCTATAGTGTAAATTGTGCTTGTAGAGATCTCATCGGGATACTGCTAATATGCAAACCTGGGATCAGACTATATTTAAATAGATAACTATTTTAAATTGTAGTAATAATCAAATAATATTTTAAATTGTAATAATGTTTTAATGTTTTTACTGTATTTTTTAACAAATAAATGCAACTTTGGTGAGTGTAATATACTACTTTCAAAAACATAAAAAGTACAGATGACAACAACAAACTAACTAAAATTAACTATTTCTCCCACCCACTTTTTCAGTGGCCCTGATACTAGAAGCATTTTTCCCACTGGGATTTTTAAAAAAGTCTTCATTAAAGCACTAGAAGTCATGAACCAAGACAATCAGACAAAAAAAAAAACAACAACAACAAACGTACAAGACTCTGTATGGCTTTAAAGAGGTGAAATACAATCCCATGAATCATTGCAAAATGAAAACAAAGAAATATAAAACTACTGATTTAAAGATTTGTCAAGATTTTATTGTGAAACAACATTATATGTTTATTGCAGGATACACATGGAACTACATAGTAGGTGAGATTTGCTTGTTTATATTCTCTAATTGGTGGAGGTTTATTTATTTATTTATTTTTGCAGAATCATGGGTGATCAGCCCCACCAGGTTTTTGCAGGACTTCTGATTTTTGCGGCCAAAAAATGACTGAATTTGTAGCGGTTTTGCAAATACACATACACATATTTTTTTTTCTTTTCTACTTTGTCTAAAGGGAAAAAAGAGGGAAAAAAAGAACTTCTAACTATCATTTAATTATTTCAAGCATTACAATGTTAAAAACAAGCTAGTATTTTTGAGTGTGTCAGAAACTGCTGTGTTTAGGTGGGTAACCCTGGAAATTGCTATATTACTGCTGTTACATAAGCGCCACCTACTGTCAGAAAGCAGTGGCGAGCTGTGACTTTTTTAACCGGGTATGCTCAGTGATAAGACTCCCCCCCCCATCGGTTTTTAGGACACTCAAAAGGGATCACAGATGAGTTTACACGTAGTTATGTTATGATACGTAATCAGACGGTGGGGAGATGGGGGGATTCCCCCGCTTTATATGTCTCTCTGCATCAGCTAAATAATTTTTTTATTCACAGTGAATAGGAGCTAAAACTCCCACCCGGGTGACATAACAGACCGCTGGTCAGCAGAAGGAAGCATGAAGTGCTCAAAAATTTCTTGGTAAACTGGTGCAGTGACGTTGGTTTTCAAATAACACAGTGGACCAACACCAGCAGATGACATTGCACCCCAAATCATCACAGACTGTG